ATCTGAACGAGCTTGGAGTCTCAGGCGGTACAAAGGAGTAATTCTTCTCTCTCCTGTAGCAGAAGGGGGAAAGGCAAGTTATGCTCCTCAAGCACAGGTTTGTAATTTACATGTGTCTTTTTTTTTTCCTTCTTCTTGCTATTTTAAGAATCAAGTTTCCATAATTCTGTTGTATGAACATCAGAAGTTTCTCTTGCTTAGACAGGCAGTGAGATTCTGGTGCCTCATCTGTGAAAGGAAAGAAAACACCTCCATCAGTTACCTGCCTTCACGGTTTTTGCTGAATCTTGCTTCCACGGAATGATTTGCTGTGTTTAAAGAATGAAGGACTGAGATCAGTGACAGAGGCAGCAAATAACTACTAGGTGACTGCCACGCACATCAGCCTGGGTACATTACTCAATCTTCACACCCTTGGGTGCTCTTGCAGTGCCTTCCCAGTGCAGTTTTGTCTTTTCAGGCACAGCTCTCTCCTCCGTTAGCCGACTGTGCGGAGCTGCTCCCGTTTCTGCTCTCCGTTATCCGATCGGCTCACAGATTTCGCCTTGCCGTTATCTGCAGAGATCTGCCTCCCGACAGCAGAGTGTTTGCTCCTGCTGAGCTGCTTGGCTGCGGCGGTCGTAGTCGGTACAAGTCAAATATATGCATCTTCTCGCTTGTCTGAATTTGCCTGTTTTCGACTTACATCCCCCAGAACATCTTCTGCTGCTGGGATTGTCCTGTCACCAGTGTCCCGTTTCTTGCGTACGTACTTGCAGGACATACTCAAGTCCTTCTTCAGCCTTTCCTGGGATAAAGTAAATAAATTACTCTCCAGAAGCATCCCATGGTAAAGACATCTCTTACAGTTCTTTCATAAGGGTCATGGCTTTTCTCCTATTTCCAGCTAGCCAACATCTTTCTTATATGTCAGCATCAGCATGGAGTAAGGTACCGTCGCAGCCTCGTATCTGCTTTCTCATTTCAAGATCCTCCGGAGAGTGATGTTAGCCACAACAAATGGCAGGAGGCACTTGCATTGAGCTGATGGTTAGCAGGGACCTCACTTCCTTTTCAGATTCATCTCTTTCCAAGGCTAAATTGTCCCTGTCCTGTAAATACTGCCTTTATTTTGGCTTCCAAATATGTTGCCTCACCTTGGCTAGACTCAAATGCACATTGTTTTCTTGCAAAATGCATCCAAGCACTCCAGATTTCTCTGTATGGGTATGCTACCTGTTAAATTTATCAATGCCCCTGATCTTGGTCACGAGGAAACTCTCAAGTGATGGTTTCCAGGGATCTTTCCTTGATATGGGTGGAAAACTGAGTAGCAGAAAACTTGTAACAGATTCCCAGGGGACCATGCTAAAACCGGAATCGTTGGGCAACATTTCCATGTTTGCATGCACGTTTGAGACCTCTTGCTGTGCTGGGTTTAACTCTGCTCAAGAGCACTGTACTGAGTTGGTATTGTCCTTGCTTCTTTATCAAAACCTCGTGTCATACCAAATCAAATGCTCTTCTGAAATCAGAGAATACAGCAACTTGTTACAGCAGTATTGTTGATTATTGCTGAAAATATCAAGACGGCAAATTTATTCTCTTCTAATCCGCACTGATTTGCCAAATTCTATTCCCCATCTTTAATTCTCGATGAATTGTGTTCATGAGACATTTTATTATTGCGCTGGAGAAGAATCTTGGATTGGTAGGCTTATAATTACCTAGGTTATCCACTTTATACTTTCAAACTATTGGTACTTTTGCCCTCGCTCTGGTTGTCCAGTTTTACTGGAAATCAAGATCAGCCATGTGTAAAGTTCCTTACCTGGCTCAGTGAAAAGTCTTTTGAAAGAAAAAGATGCTGGTATCTGGACTTGCTAATTTTGAAGTGTCTAGCATTAGTAACTGCTGTTGAACATTTTGTTTAGTATCTGCGGGGACGGAAAAGCTCATCACTACATAATATGGCTCCCAAAAATAGGACAGAAGTATTTAATGGCGGTGTCTGGTTTTCCTGAATCATTGTCAATGTCTACCATTTTCCAGCTGATCAGCCTAACTTCTAATATTTCTTTTCTTCCCAATATGCTCAAAATCATCCTCTTCTGCACTCTACAGACTTGTCTACCACTGTTGCTGCCTTCTGACCGCTCCCAAGCTTTTACCGTACACCCCCAGCTACCAGCGTCCGCTTTCTTCTCGTTACAGTATTTCTGCAAGCACCGCGCCGCGCTGACACCGAGCCTGTCTCGGGGTGCAGGTGGGAGGCTTCGCTCTGCTGCCCGTCCGTGACCTGGTGGCTGTCGCTCTCTGCTGTTAACGTCCTTCCCTCTGGTGTAGCTCACTGTTTTCAGCTATGTTGAAAACGTTAGATATTGTCTAAACTCTTTAGTGCACACGCCTGTCTCTTCACATATTCCGGCTTTGGCTTTTTTTTCTGTTTGCTTCTCAGAATCATACAGGGCTGCCACGATCACCATTTCTTAATCCAGTAAACATCTGCTCCTAGTATAGCACCGTGACGTCCCACGTAGGAGCCTTGGCCAAAGGCACTCACGCTCAGCCTTTCTTCTACACGATGCATCCGGGCAAGGAATAACCCACAGAGACGGCTCCTGGGCTGATGCCTGGCCCGGGGTGGCTGTCTGCTGCTTCGGCACGTCTCCTCCTCAGCGGGACGCACATCCAAGAGCCCCCCCAGTATCCCCAGACATGAGGGGTGAAGCCTTCTGCGTTCGTGTCCTGGCAGATTCTCGGTTCTCCCTCCCTTTGGGACCTGCTGGTTCCCCGCAGAGCTGAAGAACGCAGGGGGATCAGGGGCCCTGCATTTCACTGGCCACACAGAGCAGGGGGCTGTCACCGCACGCCCCCCACGAGGGAAGCGATGGCACAGGCTGCGTGGTAGAGAGCTGGACAGAAACCAGCCTGAGGATATTATTCATGGAGTAGCAGCCTGAAAATGAGCAGAATTCGAAAAATGCACTTGTTCAAAGTGTTTGTGCTGGTAGAAATAAGTGTTCTCTGTGAAACCACTGAAAATGAGCCACAAGACATCTCGTAGCTGCCAAGTGCCAGGCACAGTTAGTGTCTGGACAGCTTGATTCACCTGGCTGCTGAGATCTCACAGCCCACCTAAAACACATCCTGTCCTTGCTTTGGAAATAACCATCAGAAAGCAGCTTGCCCGATGAGCTCGTTTATCCTTTCCCCCCTTCCATCAGGAGTGCCGTGGGGCTTGCAGCTTTGGCCCACCAAAGAGTGACCTTCAGGGTCAGCCCTCAAGGTCTCTTGGGTCCAAGTTTATTTTGGTTTCTTTATTTTTAATGACCTGAAAAGGATTGAAGCATTTGGTGATACAGTTCTAAATAAGTTGAAGACATCAGCAACATCTTGGAAGGTGCTGAGCTCAGCACAGTTTGTGAGGGGAAGACGCTTCCTTCCACATGCGTGCTTGCTGAGCAGGGAGCTCCATCCCCAGCTCCTGCTCAGGCCCTGCCCACACAGCCCCCCACCCCGGGGCTGCCCTTCCTATCCCTTACAGCTGCCTGCTCTGTGATGGGATCACTCATAGCTTCCACCTGGGGTGGTGAGTGGGCAGAGCCTGCAGCTGGGACTCGGGCTCTTCTGAGTCCCCTTGCCCTGTGCTGTTGTGAGCAGTGCAAGGGCAGTAGCACGGCTACTGGCACAGCCTGGTTAGATGCTGAGCCCACAGCGGCTGTTTTAACTGCTTTCTCTCAAGAGAAGATGTGTACTCTGGCTGTTCTCCTCTGACCACCACCAGAGAAGGTCACCGCTTCATTGCTGTGGTACGTAAGTACCTACCATCATCTCAAAGTAGTTCTGTCACTGCTATGAAACACTTGGAGCAAACTCTTCTGTTGGTAACAGCAGAGCCTGCGTGCAGAGAACGTGTTATAGCACATTCCCTCCTGCATCATCTCTGTCTCTTAAAAAAGTAATTAATTAATTAACCTTTTTACTTTCCCTGATGGTATCAGCTTCTTAGCCAGAAAAGATGATGGCTGTGCACTTTATATATTTTGTACAGATCTGGGGAATTGCATGGTCTCTCGGGGACTGTGATCATTTTAGCTTGCTGCTCAGCTAACTGATTTTTTGGAAAGGGCTGAAGGCAGGTCAGGTTGAAGATAAACAGACTCAGCCAGTTTTCTCTCCAGAAGCTGTCATCCTTTAATGGAGCGTGAAGAAATGGCAGCAGAGGCATGAGTCAGTTGGGTTGGTTGCGTACATCTGCAGCTCAGAGCTGTGGGGATTTTCTCTCTGCTTCGTTTTTCACGATGTCTCGTGCAGTCGTGGCGTTTCCACCGCAGCTCAGGGGCAGCAGAAACCTCCTGGCTCTGGTCGGCCTGTGGCAACCCAAAATGTTCAGGAAGAAGTGCGAGTGTGATGCAGGGAGTTAAGCTGTGTGGGATTATCCCCCTCGCTCAGAGAGATGTGTCTGTTGGCGACACGTTGTATTAATTGTATGAATACAACGAGCTTGTAGTAATTTATTTGTCTTAACCCCCCGAGTGTGGAGAGTTTTGGGGGGGTGGTGGTGTGGTTTTGCTTGGTGGGTTTGTTGTTGTTTTTGGCAAGGACAGTGCTCGCGTCAGAGCAGGTCTGTTGCCACCCTTGGGCAGCAGGGGGTAAGGTCTGTGCTTGTAGGCTTTTACGCCATGGGTTATAAATTTCCAGCTCAGCCTCTGTGAGATGTGCTCTGCTGCAAAATTATTCAGACAGATGCACCCCGAAACTTGCCATCAATAGTCAGTTTGGTCAGACAGAAGTAACAGGGAGTCTTTAATGCGTGAGATTTGAAGCTTCACCTAAACCCTTTGCACAGCTGAAATCACACAGGATGTAACTCAGCACAACCCTACTGATTTCTTAGTCATAGTCACACAGGCGTAATTACAACCAACAAAGATACCTAGGCTGGGAGAGGCTCTTCTTTCTGAAGTCCAGGGGTTGCAGAACTGCAAATGCAGTGACCGTCGTCGTGCCACGGAGGAATGGCGGTGCGCAGCATGGTGGCAGCTCGTCGTGCCACGGAGGAATGGCGGTGCGCGGCGCGGCGGCAGCTCGTCGTGCCACGGAGGAATGGCGGTG